TAAAATATTCTGGATCATATGATGATTTTATATTATATATATTGTATGTATAGTTATATGATTAATGTTAGTTAGGAATTTATTTAATATTTTAAAAAGATTACTTTGGCGCCATCTATTCTTCTTCAATGAATTACCCATGTAAAAGTTTGAAAATTTTCCGATAGATGACGTACAAGAAGAAAAACAAATTTGAATTAGTTTGGCGCCATCTAGGGTTACAAACATGAATTGTCCTTGTTCAGTTTTATCAAATCTTCAATAGATAGCATCGCAAGATAAAAACAAAAATTGACATTTTTCAATAATTTGCTTTAATAAAATTTTTTGTGGTTACGTTACTTAAAATGAAATAAATATATAATCCAATCGAAGGAAAAAAAATGAAGAGTATAAAAAGTTCAGTCACGCGCACAAAAGGAATAAATCTAAAATACTTTATTTCTTTTCTTTTTCGAACTTCATGACATATTTTATATATTTAACAATAAATTGAGTTCTTTTACATGTTACGTAAAACAAACTGTAATTTTAACGATTTTCATAATGTTTCGTTCATGTAATTTTTTTTTACACTATCGAAAATTTTGCAAAGTCTTCAAAATAAATTTCCCGATGTTACGTTTGTTTTTCATGTTAATCTAGAATGTGAGAATGTATCCTTATTTCTTTGCAATAAGGTGTGTTACTACCGTTATAATTCTCCATTACATTTTTGGAATTCCCGCTCCAGAATAAGTTTCTCGAACCTGTCGAGCGACCTCGCTTCCATGAACAGGAATTGACAAGAACTGTAGTCGTCAAGTCTCAATTGCGTATGCTCCGTCTCAAAGAGATAATCCTTCATTATTCGTACACTCTTATATGTGGTACGTGACAGAGAGTGTATGTTCTTGATTGAATCCTCGACTTCCGACAAATTTGACAGATGACCGACTGTCAACATTCGACAAGTTTGATAAAGTGAGGAAAATAAGCCGACATGGAGGCAGTGCCGAGATTGCCGATGATATGGTTTCAACTAAAAGTCAGTCCAGAGCCGACTACTTTTGGTCCGAAGCTCAAACAGGTACAAACCTTGCGAGTTTTTCTCTTTTTACTTTTATATTTAATTAATCAATCTTTGTTATATGTTTCATCATTAGAAATCCATTGTGGAATGTCAAAGTGATAAAAACAACTTGTCACCATCATCTCTTGAATGTCTCTGCAGCTTTGCTTTCCTTGTATACTGTTTTTCTTTCTTTTTTTAGTACATACAAGATTTTTACAATGAGGAACCTGAGTCATACAACAGTGAAATACAGCAGTTGGAAAACTTACGCTCGATGGCAGTTAGAGCACCTCTCGACATGGCTGGATGTACGCTGTTAAAGAAATATTATTGCCAGTTGCATTTTCTTCAAAGCAGATTTCCCATGTACAAAGATGGTCCTGCTGCAGTTACATTTACGTGGTATAAAATATTTTTTTATTATACTTTACGAATATTAATTATCTAATATTTATCTAATTGTATATAAATTGTATATAATCATGAATTTGTTTCTTTTAAATTGCACAATGTTTTTTTAGTAGAAACATTTATGTTTAGTTTAAGTTTTTAAAAGAAATGCTTAGAGTTAATTAATATTAATATTAGTTAAATTACACATGAATTGATTAATATTGATTTGTTTCTTTTAAACCACTTTTTTTAGGAGAGACGCTTACGCAAATTTGGTGTGTTCATTGGGAAGCATTCGTTTTGAGATTATATCGATTTTATACAATATTGGAGCAATGCACACCCAGTTGGGCGCACGGGCAGAAAGAAATAGTGCAGATGGAATGAAAATGGCATGTACTCATTTCCAATGTGCAGCATGGGCATTCGAACACCTGAAAAATAGTTTTCCTCAACCATCTGGTATTGATCTATCACCAGAATTAATGACATTCATGCATCAGCTTTCCTTAGCACAAGCTCAAGAGTGTATATTGGAAAAGAGTATGTTAGATAATCGCAAGCCGACGATTGTAGGTATGTTTCATCAACTGTCAGTTTTATAAATCAATTATTATAATAATAATTGTTTAGTTCTGACTGTCATTATACAAGATTTATGTATTATGTAGCAAAAGTTGCAAAGCAAATAGTAGATTACTTTACTATGGCTTTAACCACATTGGAGCAAGGTGGAGGTGAAGATGGAACTATATCCGATACTGTTGGTAATAAAATTTATAAGGTGAGGCAAATTATAATTTATATACTTGAGTTAATTTATATACTTGAGTTATTTTATACGTTTTTATCAATTTGAATATAGTTTTTTAAAATGAAATTAAATAATTAATCTAAACTTTTGTAGAGCTGGAAACGCTATGTCAAATTTAAAAAAGCGTATCATATGGCTGTTACGTATCTTTATCAAGGTCTTGCTGCGGAAGAACAAAGAAAAATGGGAGAGAGAGTAGCTTTTTATAATGCTGCATTAACATCTCTTAATGAAGCACATATGATTTACGATTCTGCAAACGTTAAAGAGGAAAAAGCCGCAGTGGAAGAATCGCTCACATTTACCAATGATGTAATTGAAGGCAAGAGAAAAGCCGCTAAAAATGAGAACGATTTTATTTATCATGAAGAAGTGCCTGAAAAAGAAAGCCTTCCTACAGTGAAAGGCGCGTCTTTAGTTAAAGGAATATCGTTTAACATAAATGACCCAGAGGTATCAGGACAAGATATATTTGCAAGGTAATTATGTTTTGTATTTAATTTCTTTTTATTATATTTACAATAATTTAATTTTTTTTCTTTTGTGTAGAATATCATATATTCTTCTTTAATATTAATATTTTCTTTTATAGATTTGTTCCTATGAAAGTACACGAAGCTAATTCTCTTTATTCAGAAGAAAAAGCCAAAATATTACGTCTTATCGGAGCAAAGATTGATGAAAAAGATCAATATCTTAATACTTATCTTACTTCATTGAAGCTAGAACATATGAATTTTTGGGATCCTGATACGCAAGCTTCGGAATGGGAATGTTCACCTCTCCCAGAAGAATTACTCGAACGATGTGCTGCGCTTAATGCTAAACAACATGTTATTCAAGATTTAGTAGATATTATGGGAAAATTATCTGAAACAAGCCAAGATGTAGAAAAAGTATTAAAAGAAATATCAAAATTTTTATTGGAAGAGGAACAAAAGTATGAATTAATTATCTCTTGTTAAAAGTTTTAAGTCTCTGATGTTATTAGCTGCGTTTAGTAAAAAAAAGCAACTTTATACATGTTGTAAAATTCTTTAATATAATTGATCTTGCTCTTTTAGTTTTACTAGATCTAAATGTATAAATCAATCATATCAAAAAAATCTTACAATTGTAAAACTATTTTTCCTACCGAATGCAATTATTGATTATTTAATTACAGTTAGAAAATAAATTTTATTTTTTTGCAGAGAAAAGCAATATCAAGATGCAGTAGGCAAAAGGCCACCATCAATAGTGGCAACAGATTTAACTAGAGAAGCTAAGAAATATGAGGAAGCACACAACAAAGCTTGTGAGAGTAATCAAGCCCTTCATAAAGCAGTAACAATGCACGTAAAAAATTTAAAAATTCTCGCGCAACCATTAGCTGATTTAATGGCCCAAATTCCTTCACCAAATGTTTGCCTTGCAGGTAATTTTCATATAAATTTCTTACGTAGAATAATATTTATATAGAATAGAATTTTATTACACTTGAGCATATTTACAGCCAAAAAGGGGACTTGATTTACATAAATTCTTAACTCATTCATATATCCATATCTCGTCCGCAAACTGTCGTACCTATATTATTATAAAAGTTTTAAAAAAAAATTTTTGTTTATCCCTTTACTTCCCTACTTTTCTGATTAGACTCTCTGACTTCGCTTCTTTTCTTACATTATTTCATTTATTTTTTTTTATTTTATCCGCTTTTCTCTCTTAGTTATATCTACTTCTAATTTGGGTCCGGAAAGTTCGTCCGACTAACCTATATAATTTAATAAATGTATACTAAAATTTAAATCTTCTGCGTTTCAATTTTTCTTCAACATCGGCACGAACTTTCCGGACAATCCAATACATGTATTAGGTGTATAACTTTGCTTCCGCCGTTTTCCTGTAGATGGCTTTAGCAGTAAGTGGTGGTCGAAATAAATAGA